CTTCTTCTTCTTCTTCTTCTTCTTCTTCTTCTTCTTCTTCTTCTTCTTCTTCTTCTTCTTCTTCTTCTTCTTCTTCTTCTTCGCTTTTCAAGTAGCTGGCCATTGCTTCTCGGACCTTTCTGCAATCGTTCCAAGCCAGGTTCCTGGGCCCTGTTGCCATATTTTGTTCGGTCTCCCCTTTCTTCTTTTGCCTTCTTCCTTTGTTTGCATAATGTGTTTCTGGAGTGAATCATGGCGTTAGACAGGCCTAAAATTTATATTTTTCATAGTAGTTCCTCGTTCTTCATTTTCTATCTTCAGGGTAGTTTTAGAGTTCTTCTATAACATTTTGTCTCGAAAGCCATAATCATTTTTGTCTCTTGTTCATTGATCGTCCTTGCCTCAAATCCAAATATCGTGCCGGAGGGGAATATGATGCTTCTCTCAGTAACGTCACGTATCTTTGCATTGTCCTTTTCAAATCTATGTCATCCTTTTGAGTTCTGAAGCAGTGACTTCAATCAATTCCTCGTTTAATCTGTTGGATTGCTTTCCGGTTTGCCTCAATTCTGGTGTCGAGATATTCAAAACTGCTTGCACTTACTCATTCTTCCTAATCACTCTTTGTTAAAGCCACACCCATGCATTTGTCTATTTCTATGATTTTGGTCTTGTTCTAATTTAAATGAAGTCCTTTCTGGTCACTGTGTTCTTTGATAAAATCTACTAGATTTATTATACCTCCATAGTTCTCCTCTGTTGCCGTTAAGTGCCGAGGGGAGATGCAGTTTTCTGTATAAAAAGAGAGAGAGAATATAGGAAAAGATGGATGGATATAGGATGTTGGGGGTGGGGGTGGGGGGTGGGGTGGGAGAGAAAACAAAAGATATTATCGCTAGATATAGAAAATTCTTTTTTGTTCATGTATTGTTCCAGGCGGTTCACATTGTCATCCATATCATCGTCAGAATCACATTACATCCTACTCAAGGTAGTCCTCGTCATTACCAGCACCTACTTCAGAAAGATCTTCAAAATAATTTCTCGATTTAAAAAAAAGAGAAACCAGTGTTGTATCCGCTCTGCCGTTAAGGGAAAAAATAAACTTGGTCAGCAGCTGTTGTCACACTGTAGCGTTGTTTTATGAACTTCTTTATGGGGAGGTGGGAAAGTTTGCTGAACGTTGTCTGGGTTGTTGGTGAAGTGTTAAAGCTGAGAGGCGGGAGTGTGAGTGTGTGTATATGTGTGTGTGTGTGTGTGCGCGCGCACATGCGTGTGTGTATATGTGTGCGTATGTGTGTGTGTACGTGTGTGTGTACGTGTGTGAAAGAGAGAGAGAGAGAGAGAGAGAGAGAGAGAGAGAGAGGGGGAGGGAGGGAGGGAGGGAGGGATGGAGGGAGGGAGGGAGGGAGAGAGGGAGGGAGGGAGGGAGGGAGGGAGGGAGGGAGGGGGGGAGGGAGGGAGGGAGGGAGGGAGGGAGGGAGAGAGAGAGAGAGAGAGAGAGAGAGAGAGAGAGAGAGAGAGAGAGAGAGAGAGAGAGAGAGAGAGAGAGATTCGCATTGATTTTGTCTTCCATAGGAAATAAAATATTTATAATCTGATTTACAATGTAACATAAATCATTTTATGCGAGCTGTATGTATTTCACTTCTAATTACAACCAGCTGTTAAAACTGTGTTATGTCGTGTGTAAATGTATTTATCTGGGTTTTTCAGTTTTAGTAAGAATTTTACGATACTTGCAACAAAAAATAGGTCACATAAGTGCCGAAAATTAGACTAGAGCTATCCCTAGAGGATAACACATCAGAAAAAAAGGAAGACTGATATGCATGGTAAATATTTGATAGGAAAAATGCAGCGAACCTCACTAAAGCACCCACCAACCTCCAACATATTTGTCTGGTGCTCTTTCCATAACTTTATCTTGTCGCTAAAGTATATCAAGCTCTGCATCTCTACTAGATCTACTTTGTTTTAATGAGACACAAGAAAATATTCATCTTTTATTTATCTTTGCCCCCCCCTACCCCCCTCCCTCGCTCCTGTCCCTCCCTTACCCCACCCCCACCCCCCCCCCCCGCTCTTTTTCACCCTTGCACCACCTCACCCCTCTCACCTCGCCGCCCCTCCCATCTCCTATCTTCCACGCCCCCGCCCCCTCCCATTCCCCTTTCTCTTGACTCCCCCCTCCCCCTCCTCAACAGGCCTATGCATGGGTGTCCATCATCTTCGTCTTTGTCTCCATCTTCTCGTTCTGCGCGGAGACACACCCTCTGTTCAAGGTCAGGGCCAGAGACATGACTCACATGGCCTCGTTCTACGAGTTCTTCAACCTGGAAGCTATCCAGTGGTGGGATCTAACGCATCCACACAACGCCACAGCCGACATCATCAACGCTACGTCATCACTGAACTCCGCAGCCAATCAAAACGCTAGTGGGAGTGGTTTAGCTAGTAACATCGCTCTGTCAAACTCCGCCCCTTCTTCGTCCCTCCGTGGGTCGTCGTCCAATACGAACTGCGCGTGTGATAGGAGGGGCAGGGCGAACGTTGTGTTTGACGAGTATTATACGGACGAGGGAGATGATGCAGATGAGGAAAGGGAGAATTATACGGGCAATAGGCTCCTCCCACATCCAGCTCTAGTCATCATGGACATGTCTTGCCTCGCCTTCTTCACCATGGAGTACCTCACTCGCTTCCTCTGTTCGCCCAGCAAGAAAAATTTCGTGCGCGCGTTACAAAACATTGTGGATTTCCTCGCCTTTGCGCCGGATTACGTTGAAATACTTTTCCTTATCATCGACCCCAGCCAGACAGAGGGGATGGCCATTATGGAAATGCTTTTTATTCTCCGAATTTTACGTCTCTTTCGAATCTTTCGCCTAATCCGTCACGTTCCTGGTTTGTGGATTCTTCTGTATACGCTCAAGGCGAGTTTCAACGAGCTGATGCTCATGTGTGTCTTTTTGCTCATCGGTATGGTCGTCTTCGCCACGCTCATCCATTTTGTTGAGCCAGATGGGATCTTTACCAACATTCCTGTGGGGTTCTGGTGGAGCGTGGTTACCATGACAACGGTAGGTTACGGGGACATGTTCCCGGAATCGGCGGCCGGGTATTTTATCGGTTCTTGCTGCGCAGTGGCGGGTCTGCTCATGATAGCCTTCACCGTGCCCATTATCGTGAGTAATTTTGTCCTGTACTACACGCACGTGCAATACGGGCTGGCCAGGAAAGACCGCGAGTTGGCGAGGCAGAGGGAGGAGGAGCTAGAGGCGGAGAGGTTGGCGGAGGAGGCGAGGAAGAAGAGTAATCTGGACGTGGAGGGGGCGTGTTCTACGACGGCGACGCCCACACCGCTGCCGACTCCCCCCACCACGACGAGGAATGGCCGGACGTACACGTACGTCAACCGACTGGAGCCCAGCGCCGAGGGCGAGGAGCCTGATGACGCCACTGACGTGTCGTGTGTCAACGGGGGCGGGGCTGGGAGTGCAGTGTTTATCGTAGAGAGGGAGACTACTGTCACATGACAGACAGTGGACAGTGGTTAAGGTGATCACTTGAAACACAGTGGGCGGAGTCTATAATGTGATTGTCAATTGAAGGATATTGACCAGTGTCTACAGGTAACGTGGCCTTGTAGAGGAGGGTATTATTATTTGACAGTGTTTGCACCTAGCATGGATTCTTGAGAGATATTATTGGCCGAGATGGATCTATAAATATTAAATGATCTATAAATAACACGGTCACTTGGCGAATGTTGGCAGTTGTCTTCGAGTAGGATGGGGTGACTGACTTGTTAATCTAAGTTTTCTTTTGTTCTGAGACTTTTTTTCTCAAGATTGTTACCGGATTTCACTGTTGATTGAATTCTTGCCAATCGTTTCAGTATCACATGACCTCGACGTCTTCTGTTAGATGATGCAGTCGTCGTCTTTCTCATCATCATCATCATCATCATCATCATCATCATCATCATCATCATCATCATCATCATCATCATCATCATCATCATCATCATCATTCCATCTCCTCCCCCTTTTTTGTTGTTGCCCTCACCCGACCCACCCTTCCCCTCCCCACTCCTTAACAAGGACTCGGGGTAAATGATGCATTGAGCTTCCTGAAATGGCGGAAAGTCATTTGTGAGGCAGCGTGGTGGAATCAGGCTCTCGTCAATTTTTGGACATGTTGAGTTATTGGTATCATCTTAAAGCTTGTTCACTTGTCTTTATTTGGATGGGAAAAATATCCATTTATCTTGAATACAATTCGAGATATTTGAGAAAGAAGGAGGTAGGGGTCACCTGTTTTCAGAGGTAAAATCAGAGAGAAAATGGCCGCTGAGATTAGTTTCTTCCTTAGCTTAAGAATCCGTGGTAACTGAAAATTTACATTTTTTGTGTCTTTAATCAACGTTTTTCAGGACAATTCACACAGAAATGAGTTTTTGATGGGCATGAAAGGTGTTAAGCCAAAAAACAAAAAATTCGATAAAAATTCACAAACCTGCGGAAAAACACGAGTTTCTTCATTTTGATTATTTTGACGAGAGCCGGATTTCACCACGCTTCCTCACATTTGGTTTTTTGTGTGTTTTTTTGTCTTTATTTTTCAGTATTTGGAAGAATGTCACTTTAGATCTCTGGCGACTAAGATACGTTGGTTTCCAAGACTGCAGTTTGTGAAAATTTAGTTTTGTTTGTTTCATCGTTTGTTTGTTTGTTTGTGGGCGCAGCTGTTGATGTTGTCGTTGCTGTTGTTGTTGGCTTTGCTCGGGGTAAAGTTACCCCACCCAGCCCCCAGTTGCGTATATCATTTTCCTCACAAGTTCTAGTTTTTCCCAGTCGTAATCGCACATATTCAAACGCAGTTGGACAGTTCTACTGTAATCTATCCAAGTCTTTGAAAATTATTCCTACATCGTATCTTTTATAACTTCAGAGAAAAGCAATGCTGAAAGCTTTTAAGTTTCTGAATGTCTGCGGAAAAAAATTGCAAACACAGTCAGTATTGGCTGAGTCTCAGGAGTCGAGGACTTCAATATTACCTGGGCAAGAGGGAAGTGAGGGCTAAAAATAACCTGCTGCTGTAAGGAATAAGAACGACACCTCAATTCTTTGACGAAGAAGAGACGCCTGGTTGTGTTGTTGCTTAAAAAGTTTCCACTGTTTACTTTTCTTAAGTGTTTTCTACCGTTGTCTTTGGTATAGAGGTAAGGCGCTCTCATGTCGCATGCTAAAGACCCATGTTCGATTCCTCAGTGTGGAAATTTTTTTATCGAGTGTCTCGGTGTTTCTTGAATAACATTGTGTCAGTCTAAGCTCGGTGTGGCACTGACTGACAGGGTCGAAGCCCACCACCTAAATGGTCAAAGTTGTGTTGTTGGAGGCTTTAAAAAACTCCTACTTTGGATTGAAAGAAAGAGAAGTGTTTTTCCCATAAGGCTTGGATTGTTGCACGTCTTTCTTGTTTGTGTATACAGATCACGTGCTGGGAGAGTGGGAGGAGGTGGGGGAAAGGTGAGGGGAAGGGGGTGGGTGAAGAAAGGCGAAAAAAAGAGGGGGGGGGGTCTAGAAGGATGAGGGATGGTGAGGGGGTAGTGGGGAGGTGAGGTGGTTGGGGAGGGGTGAGAAGGGGCTAGGTGGATTAGAGCTAGGAGGTTGTCGTAGGTAGGGGTGTAACAAGATTGAAGGGGGGAGGGAAAAGGAATAGAAAGAAGGGAGGGGTGAGGAAGGGGGCGGGGGAGTCGACGAGGTGGGAAGAGGTCTCGAATTGCCCCCCCTCTACTTCCTTGACCCGTCTCCGTACCTCCCCTGGGGAGTTCTGGCACCAGACAAAGCGGTACATGGATCACGTGATTCGATTGTTGCTGAACGGGCTGACCGGCAGACTTTCGAGGCTGGGCACTGGTCACTCCCCCAGGGACTCTCTCCCGATGTCTGTTCTGACTAATACAGTTTGAGGACGTGTTTGGACCGGAGTCGAGAGTACAGTTTGTTGTACGTATATGGGCCGATATCCGGGTGGCTGTTCTGGTCATAGATAATAGTAATTGTGATATCCTAGACCAGGCACTATCATGGCCGACGCTCTTTGTTCTCTATACAAACTTCTTAGCCCTGCTGTGCACCATGGGTGTGCAAATCTACTAAGACTAAGAGTTAAGAGCAAAACACCAGTCTCTCTGTTGTCCAGCGTGTGCACAATATTTCCATTCTTGCCCTTCATTTGGTTCCAAATAGAGTCAAGTGGCGCGCTTCTTGGTGAACCGGAAGTACGTCAGAGTTCACACTCTTTGATATTTTAACACTCATCTATGGTTCTGACTGCTACAGTTTACGGCATGTGTATAGGTCGATGTGTGGGGGAGTACAATTTAATGCGCGTACACGGTAGGCAAGGAAGATCGTCCATTCCATAGAAGTAAAAAAATAACGTAGTGTGAGAGGGGCTCCTCATGATATTGATTGTTATAGAAATATAGAACTAGGATGGCGACAGAAGGCGAGGGATTATTTAAGACTGAGGAGAGTTAGAGAACACAGAACTAGGACAAACCAGGTGGTGAGGAGGGATTAATTATTCATGATAGAGGATCGTTATAGAATTTAGAACTAGGACAGTGACAGACAGCGACCCGTATGCATTTCTATAAGACATCCATTAAATGCAGACCAGCTTGCACGGGGATATTTAAACATCTTTAAAAGGCGTCAATTAAATGCCTACGAGATTCCACAGAGATCTTTAAACATCTCTAAAAGGCGTCAATTAAGTGCCTACCAGCTTGCACTGAGATCTTTATATATCTTCATAAGACGTCCATTAAATGCCAACGAGCTTGCATAGAGATCTTTATACATCTCTATAAAATATTCATTATAATAAGCCTACCAGCATGCACAGAGATCTACCTACGGCTCCTTAAGACGTCCTTTAAATGCTTAACAGTCAGTGTGCATGCCTTGTAATACTCACCGCGCATTCTTTATATTGTTAAATCGCACAAATCAAAATGCTATACTGAGGAGTAAGTTAAAAATAATACCTAATGATAAGCTGCAGAACTCACCCCACTCCCATATAATCGAGGCTTCCAATTCCTGTCTGTGGGTTCCCTGTGTAGTATTATTATTACTAATATTAAGTTCAATCATTTAATTATTTGTTGTTGTTTGTCGTTTATTTGTTTGTTGTTTATTTTAGTGTGATTGCTCTTGTTTTGTTTAATCTTAGATTTTTAAAAAGATGGTATTACACACACACGCACACACACACACACACACACACACACG